CCAAAGGTTGTTAAATAATATGTAAGAATCCAGGCCGTAACTCATAGAAAACACAAAAATCTACTGGTTAATGTTGTTTAAGGAGACAGTCCCTATTTACACTAAAAATCACGCAAAACAAAATGCAGTTATTGACTGTTGAGGCAAGTGGTACTTAGTTACCACTGGGCTTTAAAGAGTTAAACAATAATCTGTTCTGGAACTTCTCATGCTCTTTTTCCGCCCTATACTTCGCAGCTCCCAGCACTTCAATCAGGATCACCGATTGCGTATCTTTGCTTTCTCAAAGCCGTTTAGCCACAGAACTTTTGAATTCCGAAAATTAAAGAAATAAATGAAAACTGAAGTTGCCAAGATGCACGGCGTGTTTAAAATAAATGTACTTCGCATATTTTATGACCATTCGATGGCCGTGCTGAAGTCAGTGTGGGGACCACTGGCTATCTTGAGGTATTTGATCACAGTGTGAACTGTTGAATGAACAAAGCCAGCAACATGGCAGTGTGAATGAAGGGTAGGTGAAGCTGTGAGCTGGCAGCAACACGCATAAGAGACAGTAGCTACAGACCTAAAATTAGTTCCGACGAGCAAGCAGGCGAAATTACCCTGGACATCCGAAATGGAAAACAGCACACGACTGTAAATCTGATGGGATCTCTCACTCGAAGATGATTTAATCCTGACAACCGAACTTACATTCAGATACGCACAAGAACGGGTGATTTACATGAAGAATTGCACTATTATGCTTTTTCATTGCCAGAGCAATAGGCCTACTAAATACTGAAATGCTAGCCAAAATAGTAACAGCGAAATTCAAGACGTTATATTACCATTCTTTCAGACTTTGTTCCCACGATGTTTGTAATAATTTTTACTCTTTACCAAATAATATCGGAGTGATCAAGTCGAGGATGATGAGCTGGACGGGACATGTAGCATGCATGGGTAGATGAGAAAAAAGTGCACACTTATAGTCAGAAAACCTGAACCTAAAAGACCACTTTAGACACCTAGGAATAGATAGGAGGATAATTTTAACAGATCGTAAACAGGTTCTGAGGATGTGGACTGGGTTTATCTGAATCAGGATAAGGTCAGTGGCGAGTTCTTGAAAACATCGTCCGTCAGATTCCTTAAGGGCTGAAACCAGCTGGGTGACTGTTGGCTTGTTAAAAAAGGCCCTGCTTGTTGGAGTTCTTTATACGCACCATTAATAGAATACGTATTTAAACTAACGAAAGTCAAGGTTAATTTTAATGACCGTTAAATGACGGTTTTATCTGTAACAAAAAATTAAATGTTTCAGCTCGAATTCACAAATTCAAATAGACTATGAAACACGTTTTATGACTTCCCGACTCATCTTTGAAACGGAATATAAAATATGTTTACTATGGAATGAACAATAAACCGGTACTTCAATGTCGTCCATATTTCATAGCTAGTTCGTCGCTAAAGATTGCATTACAAAAAATAACATTCTATTTTCTTAGTTAATGCAGGTTAATGAACTTTATGGCTGGCACTGAAACACGTTAAGATCCACAAGGAAAAAGGTTTCATAAATCAATATGTTCAGAAATCCGGTATGTCTTCGCCCTCTCAAGTTTAACCTGCCTGAAGAGACGAGCCGGAAGACTTATGCGCAAATTGGATGATATTAAAAGATCTTCGGGAAATATGCCGGAAAGTGTGAACTGGATATAACTACGTTGATTTATTTTTAACTAGTTTCTTTATATCAATCATATATTATAACAAACTCAGACTCTTTGAAGCACGAAGATATTCTAAATAGAATTTAAAAATCCAGTTCTTATCTACAAGACACAGCGCATTTCAATTACAATGAACGATAATTGGTTAATGTTATTTAGGAAAACAACAGATGATTATTCTGATATATATACGAAACCCATGAATATACACTACAGGCAAAATGAAGAAATGCTGAATGTTAAAGTATGTGCTACATGAAAGTTAAGTAACTACCAAGCTTTAAAGAGGGAAGACAGAATGACAGTTACAGAATTAAACTGGCCAGGTCTGTAAGAATACGGCATTTCCTGCCATCTAACAGAGCATTTCTTGCGTGAGTGAAAATTGTAAATCGTGTTTCGTAACATCAGGTCTTAACTAATTTATTTAAAATACTATTCAAGCCTACGCAATATTTAACTTTGACTACGGAATCAAACGGAATAAAGCCCGAATGTCGATTGCCATAATGACCAGGCAAACGTAATAAATAATATTTGCTGTATTCAACTCGCTCTGATTTTTATACTGAACCAATTCAAGACACTGTACGACTTGTTTTCGGGGATAAGACGCGTCGAATGACGGCTCATCCCCGAAAATCGAAGTCGAACACTGAATTCTAATAGCAAAAACCTAAGGACAAAAAATTAAAAAGAAACGAACTTACAATTGTACCAGGAAATAGTAAAACAATACACTTTCGAAGCCATGAGTTAAAAAGATAAAGCGTTTGCTTTACGCGCGATATGGGCGCACCTCTACACAAAAGTAAATTTACACTTTTATTAAATGTATGCCTTTTTATCCTGTTCAACTTCGGGTCTTTTCGAGAGCGAATGATTTCAACGAGTTACTTTAAAGAAATAAGAGAAGGACTCTTTATCATATACATAACAACCTTAAGGTATCATTTTTAATGATATACAAACATCTTCCTTGCAAGACTCCACAGTCAAATATAATCATACTCAAATGTTTCATAGGTGTCATTCCCGACACGATTGAAACTCTAAGCAGTGGGAGGCGTACTTACCTATAGAATATACTAATTATTAGTGATTCCAGGTGGCAAATACTAGCGACAGATGCGGCCAGATTTGTGACATATGAATAAAGGACATTTATAGCTTCTGATGGGAAAAAATAAACATAACATTTATCAAACACCTTATCCTGCCACTCACATCCCGAAAGGAACACATAACCTACGAAGCATTGAGATACAAAAATGGCTTATGTTTACCAGCCGATAAACTGTTAAAAGCCGTCAATATAGTCAGCAAAGCTCTGTATCAGTAAATTATACATATTTATGGCCTAAATAATATGAAGTTTTAAATAAAGTGTGTCATTATTAAGTGAAAATTAATTCCACTTACCTCTTCAATTTTGTAAGTCCTCCGGACAGATTTCCGGCGAATTTCTCCCACAAAAGTTTCTTCCACAGTTGCATCCATTTTTCTTCTTGTGTGTGTACTTTTTATCACAACGTAAAATGTGTTCTTCACTCAGCAGTCGCCTAATATTTCAAGCCACGAGCTGCCGGCTCAACTTCCAAATTGGTACTACGCGGATCCACCATTAATGGCTCTGACGATTGGAAAGAATACGAGACGAGCACCGCCAAGCGGTCATTAAGCAAACCAATAAGTAAGCACAGCTCACGGTAAACATTTCATAGTCTGTGTGTACTTCGTTGTCTCTCCGATCCTTTCAGTTCATTAGAGATCTGACGTAAACAGAGCTGTTTGACAAATGTTTCAAAATTTCAATGCACATACACAAATACAATATGTTAATCAGCTGTTATGCGAATAAACTAATTTTCGAGATAAACAGCAGTCCATTTTCTGAGTTCTCAGTAATTTATACAAACATTCATTTATTATTGTTTGTTTTGTTGTGACTGATTATGGGCTGAAGCACTGGTAATCAATTCCTTGCAAGGAATTTTTTCATCATCACTGATTCTGGGGAATGGCCAGCTTTCTGACCCCATGAAGATGAAGCTGACCATCCTCCCACCTAGTACAAAGGTTTACCTCCACTTTTCTGGCATGATACATAAGTTCAGGAGCAACTTAACCTTACCTTCATTTTGCCTTGCATACTTAAATATACAATTACTTTGTTGATTTCAAACATTACACATGAAGGATGGTTTAGGCAGTTATTACATAAGTGACTTTTTTTCACTATCTCTTTCGTACTAGGCAGGTCAGGAACACTTCACATGTATTTGTAAAAAACTTAATATTCTAATAGGCTTTTTATGGTTCTAATAACTCTCCAATTAAATGCTGGGGTAATAAAATAAGTCATGGCAAACTCCTTCCAGACATTAACTGCGATATGTAAAATAAAATATTTTATGATGCTGTCTGTAAACACTGCTGAGGATATGCAACATGAAATGTCATATGATTATAAACTAAGAATAAAGTATGAAGTGGCAGGAATTGGACAGTTGTAATTTACTGGCAATCATGTAGAGGGAACATGCAAAAGTATGAAAAACCTCAGATGTGATAGCCGGACCTTAGCCAAGATTTGAACTGGGTATATTTTAAAAGACATGTTACCACCATAATAACCAACACAGTCCACTCCACTGTTATATTAAAAACAATGGTTGGGGAATTGGTTCAATAAAATCAAACATGCAATAGAATAACTTTATCTGAACAAACGCTTCAAAAATGCTTAAATATGTAAGAGACATTAAGGCTATATCTTCACTATGTCCCTGTCAAAAGCAATGTACTACCATCAACCAGGCTATTGTTCATAGCAACGCACAGTATTATAATCGTCATCATCTAGCAGTCAAGGAGTTAGGGTGTGAAATGGAAATAAACTGAGAAGTTGTGGGAAGGCAGATATACAGACTGAGAGGTTTGGATGTCACCCAACCCACATTACATGAAAATGTCTTTTGAGGAAGAAGAGTAGTAGTAGTAGATGAACTGTACTTCAGTGTAGTTACAACAGATATCTGGGTAACAGATAATACTACATATTTAACTGACAGTGAAGACAACAGTAAACTCTGTAGAATTATCAGTCACACAAGTTACAATATAAGAGGAATCAGTGATGATACAGGCAGGAAGAACATGAAACCCTTGTCTAGCAACAAGGTATTTATAAGAACTCCACTGTAAACCCAACAAACAGCAAAGCTGATTCTGTTACACAGGAGGCCCAAGGCTTCAATCAATATGCCACTGCCCAGCTGTTGCACAAAGGAAGGAATTTATTATGGATCATATTTCAAATGTCTTCATTCACACAGAGCTACACTACAAATATGCAGTCAATGATCAACTAATTATGCACAATCAAGAAGAGGACTTTTAAAAACTGTCATAAAAGTAGGTAAATATGTTTATTTCTTACATATTATCATATGAAACATCCCTCATGGACAATGTAATTCTAAAATATATCTGAAAAAGTTTAGGAAAGTTGGCAAACCTAGGCTCTTAACTAAAATTCTTTCATCCATTTTCTCTCATATCATAATATCTAAATACATGCTCTTACTTCAACATAAAATATTCTTTACATTCTAAAAAGAAAATTGCAATCAGTTTGCAATACAGGCTGAAAGACATCCCTGCTGAATACTAAATATGTAAACATGGAATATTTATTAATCTTGAGCAAAGAACCTCCTCTAATTTTGGCAGGCACTCTGGTGGCCTAGAAGCAAAATAGGCTAGGAGTGAAGAAAATCACTGCTGTTCTTATGATGCTGCATAAGTTCTCCTGGACCAAATACACCTTTCTCTGTGATTATTCCAGTGATAAGGCTTGCTGGAGTCACGTCAAATGCAGGATTCCAACAGCTGATACCTATCAACACATGCTGTGTATTGCTTAAAAGTAAAGTGCACTTTAACAAAATTGTAACAATGAAATTTTAGTACATACATAACCAGAGTTCCAAGGAATAATTATTTTATGTCATGCAAAAAAAGTAAGTCGAGAAGAAAACAAAGACAAATTCACAAATGAATATATTTAATTAAACATGAAATTCTGGGAAGAACTCAAATCCTTCAAATCTTGTGTTTTAATACTGTATGTGGGTATTAGAAATTTATAACCCAATAGCAGAAAGCAAAATAAAAAAGTAGACAGTTTAGTTCTTGGGAAATAAAATATTGACAAAGTGTTAAAAGAAGGATGAACTATGCAGGAAACCTTAACCAATTAATGAGAAAAGTTTCATCAGTTACGAATTATAATGTGGTAATGGACTGCAATTTAATGTTCTGTTTTTTATTTAAATTTTCTAGAACCAAATCAAACCAAATTTACGCTAACGTTTGACACATTATCTTTAATTTTCTCACTACCAAACCCATAATGCAAAGATTTTATGCTAGGAATACATGACAAAAGATATTGCAAACCTGTAGCTGCAATCCTATGGTCTGCAACATGACTCATCTCGTGCTCTGGCCTCTCCTCTATCAGAATGTGCTCTCCACTTGGGATGCTGAAGTCAATAGACGTGAAAGGTGCAGCCACATAAAATAAGACTCCATGGTGCTTTGCCACTACTGCAATCTATAACAAAGTTTTACATTGAAATCCCACACTGAAATGCCATTTGTGTATTAAATGGACAATATTAAATTAAATCTCATAATACATTCTTAATAAAAAGGCAAAAAATACATAATAAATAAATAGTTTCCTATTTTCATACAACTGGTTATAAAAGTAAAGGCAAAGTTGACCTTGGTATTTGTTAAGCACCGCACCATGAAGATGTATGGGAGTGTAGAGGTATAGCTCCACCCTTTCCTGACTGGTCAGCTAGCCTTGTCATTATACCGACTCAGTTACCGAGTTCATACAACTGACTACAGAAAGTGGAAATAACTGTTCAGTTATTATCATCTTTGCTATTACCTGAGGAAACAATCGTTCCAGTTTTCACTTCACACATCTAAGTTTGGAGCATCCTGGGGCAATATTACCATATTACAAGTGGCAGTGGTTAAACAGCTGACATGCAAAGTGAGAAACCAGTACTTAAACCCAGGTTGCAACAATACAATTTTTTGCTTGAATAAGATTGTTGTTACATAACATCTATCTTCAGTGACCATTTGAAGATTCTTGTGATTATGAAAGTACCTGATAGGTTCCAATTTTGTTTGCTGTGTCCCCATTGGTTGCAACCCTGTCAGCACCAACAACAACAGCTGTTATATTGCGTGCTCTCATCAGAGCTGAAACCATGCTATCACATACAAGGGTAGCTGGGATTTTATCATGTACCAGTTCATAGGCTGTTAATCGTGCGCCTTGATTGTATGGTCTTGTTTCAGTACAATAAACATGCTCTGAAACAAAATGAAAGATTGTCTGGCTTACTTTCTGAACAAGAATATGCTGGTAAACCAAAGATATGTATGAAAGACGAGGAATCCAGAAATAAGACCATGTGGGATGTTGGTGAGCAAAGATGACTTGGTCTGACACACTGTCTTGGATCCTAACAACCAGTCCTCATTTTAAAACAGTGGCAATATATAAGAATCCCAATGACCCTAACATGGTAAGGCTCATTTGTAATGCACAACACATGGTTAAGCAAAATGGCAACTGTCTGTAATCATGAGGGTTAACTGCTATGCTACCAACCTGACTCAAGATTGCAGTCTGATAGAAATTTACTGACATTTCAGAGGGGCTTACTGCCTCCATCATCAGGGCAATGGGCTTGATTATAACCCTAACAATGGAGGCAGCAAGCACATCTGAAATATCAGTAAGATTCTACCAGACTACAAGGCACAACAACCATCTTCTTGCTCACCACCATGAGAACCTCAAATCCCACAACTCAACTCCATTTGACCAAAATTCTGTTGTTAAGTGGTTACTAATCCTGCCTACATAGAAAAAGCTGATTTTGTAATAGAAATAAAATGTAGTGACAACATGCATCAGCTACGTTATCATCAAAATTATATGCACTTGACTGCAAGTCGTGCAGTTTCAGCTAGGAACCAGGAAGTAACAGTTATGTTCAACATCAGTGGACACACTGTACTACACTACAATGCTGGATATCACACCATTTAATTGAAACAGTCTAAAAAATGAGTTAATACAATCAAGCTCAAGATACAGAAAGTTTCTCTTTTGATGATATAAACAAACAATAAATATCATATAATAAATGTAATGAACTGTCACTGATATTTACCTAGCCTCTTGAGAGAATGGAGTGATCGAATAACTCCCAGAGCTGTGCCATAGCCAGCAGTGGCCAAGGAACCTGTATTGCAGTGTGTAAGGATGCGTACCATGCTGTCCTTTGGACAATGACTTAGGATTGCTTTTGCCCCTGCATCACCAATTGCACGATTGTCAATGATGTCCTTGTCCAGCATAGTTTCAATTGCAGACAGGAACCTGAGCAACCAATATAACACTTTAAACCTGTTATTTCTTATATTATATGTTACAAAGCTCTGCAACATCAACATTCCTTGCATCTTTAAAAAATGACAAAATGTTTCTATCATAAGAGGTACAAATTTCAGACTCTCACTGTCAACAGCAGAAGGCAATTCAACATACCATCAGCTATGTCTCACACAAAAATAGACAGAAGATAAATAACTGATATCTTCAAATTATGATTAGGGAATTCTTCCAGTTGAGTATAGTAGTGGTTATCAAATCATCTTTCAGTAACAAATGAACTAAACTGACAAACCTATTAGCAACAGTAACAGTGCAAGGGCAAGAAGTCCATTCAATAATCATTAACCTCAACATAATATCTTCTATAAAGAATATATGTAGAATTCATCACTGCAAAGTAAAAATGTAGCATATTATCCAACCTGGATCAAATTTAAATTTGACCAAAATAATCTAGCAAAGACTCTAAATGTAAATATTCTTCTAAATATGTCTGCGGGATTACTACACGCATAGAAACTGAGTCATACAGTGTGTATATAATGAACATGCAGATATATAATATAAAGGTGGCAAAAAAATACAAATCACAAGATATGTTGATTGTTAGACCTATATCAGCTCTTACTTAAGTTTCATTTGTTCTGCGGAAACAGTCTCATCCTTATCCAGAGCATTGACTAGAGAAATTAATTCATCTGCAGCCAATTTCATGTTAACTGCAGTTGGTCGAGCAGATACAAGATAATTAAGCTTCCCTTCTACTTCCTGCCGCAAAGTCTTCTTGTCAGTGAATACCTCTGGTTGAATCTCCACAGCCAAGCTCAAACAGCCAACAATTGCAATGGCTGGAGCACCACGTACCTGCACAGATATGAAAAGGTGAAAATACAATACTAGTACATGGGTTCCAAGTTACATGACATCATTGTAAAGTTCATATGAGAGTTTCAACATTATTTTATATGTATGTAAGTATTTTCTTTCTTAATGTTTTATTTGTACTGCGGCAACGTCTCTAGCAAGCAAATGAGGTAGGCTGCCAAACACGCTTCGTAGGCATTCTGTATCAGTGCATGTAGTAAAGAAGAAGCTATTTACATAAAAACCACTACAAACGCAAGGTTATGTTCCTAATGGTTATTATGAAAGCTGTGAGATTTCTTACATAGGACCACAAACAAATCATTTTGAAGCCATGAATTTTACTCACGTGCATCTTATGTATTGCTCGCCACCCATCTTCCACACCTTTAACTTCAATGTACTGCGATTGAGATGGCAATAATAGTTGATCAAGGATTTCAAGCTTTCCACTTTCGTATCTTATGGATTTTAACGTCATGATGTTAGAATTAAATGGCACTTGTGATTAATATACAAAATATTCAACAACACAGTTACTGAAGAACAAAGACACACCCTATATAATTATTCAAATAAATGTAATGAATAATTATAATTAATAAACTTCAGAATTTGTTCAAGATACAACGACCCGCGCAATACGTCCAACGTACTGAATTATGGGGAAGTTAACCGCATCGGACCCACCCACCAATTTTCCGTTCTTTTCTGGATTTTCAGTGACCATTATCATGGTTGCCATACCTCTCGCAATCTAACATAGCCTTATTTAAATCACATATACAAAAACAATTACACATATACAGTGAACAGCAATTGATTTATACACTACATACGAATAAGAAACATTCAGCCAACTACGTATCCTACGAAACCGACCTACGTATTTACGTCTACGTTGATACATGAATCACAATCAGTTATA